CTTACTACCGTGAACAGAGCCCGCCGGAAGTTGTAATCGCATTTTTACAAACAACTTTTTTAAGGATTTTTAAAAAAATAGACAAATTAGCGGGAAAAACCAAAACGATGAGGCTCACAGCAGCAGTTACAGAAAGAGGGGCGACAATAATACAGTGTAAGTCAATGGGAGCCAGGGTCAGAAAGAGCCGGAAGAGCCCACGTGCAAACTTCCTATTTGGAGCGCGGCGTCTAGCGCGTTATACATATGGAGCGTGTCTCAATTCTCTTTCCTCGCTTCCTTCTCTTCGATCCTGTAGCAAATGGATGAGGAAGTCCTACCCACAGAGGAGACTCAGGGGGTAGAGCACAGTCTATGGGAGAGAGAGGATTTAAAGGAGGAGGAGGTGGATATAAACAGCTGAAAAATGGAGGACTGGGGAGATGAATCAATGAGAAAGAAGTGAGGAAAGAGAATTATGCTTCAGACCAGCCGTTGCATCCTAAAAACTACAACCATACAGTCCATGACAACAACATGAACATTAATGGCACGCCCCTCAAAAGACGCACAAGCAAAGTTGTGAGCGCACTTTCCGGCGGTGCGCGGTAACAGTATACTTCTCAGTTGCTGGCTTCTGCTTCGAACTTCAGTCTTAGCCATGCTTAGCCCATGGATCTATTAAAATTGCTTAGCCTCTGGTACTGCGTGGCAGAGGGGAGAGGTCAGATGAGGTAAAGGGGACCCCTCTTACACTGCACCCAGTTGGTTAAACGCAGTGGTGCTTGAGGCCACCTCACAACACTAGGGCTGGCTGGGAAAAGGGGCTTGGCTGCAAATTGAATGAGGCAGGGGACGTAGAGCAGGATTAGGCAGCTGTTTGGTGCCAGTAGACTTTCCATTCTCAGTTTAGCTCAGTATAACTAGGTGATAATTGTACAACATCAATGCCCTAAGAAAGCAGCAGCTGAAGTAATGTGACTATTAATGGTTAGAAATGTACTGGAATTCTGTATGTAAAAAGGGGATGTAGGGAGCTGCCAGGAGGTGACTTGTTTGATACTGGGTATTAAAACATAATATTCAAAGTAAACCAAAAGTAAGACAGATCTACTATTTTGCCCTCTCACACAAAATGTATACATTTCTTCATACTAGTTGCAGTAGTTTATTTAAGTAGTTAGAATATTATCATACACTAAACTAGTATTTTATGTAAATTCTGCGATCTCATGTTAACTCCAGGGGCTGCCAGACTTGGTCATTCAAACAAGATTCAAACTATAGAGGATATAGTCCAATGTTCTTACTTTACAAGGCTAAATAAACTGTTAGTTAGCATAGCCAAAGAGGAGTGAGCCAGGGTTCTGTCAAAGAATTAGCAGCAAGAGGTTATTTTCAATGCCCATAAAACACCAGGCATGTTGTAAATATGGCACAAACATGTTTTTGAAGGCTTTATTTTAGAAAGGCAAACTGGCATTGTTGAATATTTTCTCTTGTAAATATTGATGGGGATGTTTTTTAGTTTTTTTGTGGAAAGGTACAACATAATTTCTACCACGCTGCTGCACACTGACCTTGGCCTTACTAATTAATTCATTATAAATTAATCATTGCATTTATAAAGCACCTTTCAAGACACCCAATACTAGGCGATGTATCGCACCTGTTTTTTCCAGCCTTGCTTATTTTCTGAGATCTGGCAAGCTCAATCTTTGACCAGCTGGTATGGCTTATAGGATAATGTATCTTGGGTAGGGTCAGTAACAGTGAACAATATCTACAACAAAAGGAATAAAATACAAAAAGCCCAGGATGTAGATCGATTTTTACGTGTGTGTTTTGTTCACTGCTTAAGCTGCACACAACTCCTGCAGAAAACATGGAAATGCATAAGTTCAGACCAACAGTGCAAACACTTGCCATGGTAGTTCAGGAAGAATGAGGATGTTGGGATCAAAGGTCCTGTACACTCTGTCATCTGGGGTTGATTTTTGCTTTAGATTGGCTACCTCATGCTGGCTGAGGTCTTCTAAACTAAGCAAACTGCATGCAGTCTCTTCATGAAGGCCAGGGGCATAGTGGGAATCCATGTTGTGAGACAAAACAGCCAGATGAAAAATTGGAAACAGACCAAAAAATGTAAATATACACCAAAAAATTGCAGATGTGTGTTTATTTTTCTTGAATCCAAAACTGCATTAGGTTAAATAATTTTACATGTCAACACAGGTTAACTATTGTACTATTGTGACTATTGTAGCCAAAAAGGAAAGAAACATATTACCATAGTAACTGACCAATACTCACCCTTGTTGCAGTTACAATCTATGCCGAAATGGGAGACAACGTCACCATCCCCTGCCATGTGTTGCATGAAGACAGCTTCGGGGGACCAGGGTTGAATGGGATGCGCGTGAAATGGACCAAGGTGGCAGAAATTGAGAGTTTCAATGAAGATGTTCTGGTGGGAATGGGTTTCCACAAAAGGGCATATGGCAGCTTTGAGGGGCGTGCCTTTCTGCAGGAGGCAAACGAGGAGGACGCATCACTTGTTTTGACTGACATCTCCAAAGATGATGCAGGGACATACCGCTGTGAGGTCTTCTTTGGGATGGAGGAACAAATGTATGAGGTGGTCTTGGAAGTTACAGGAAGTGAGATCAATGGTAAGTATGTTTTTCAGGGTCATATTAGTTATAGAAAATGATCATAATTGTAAATTTGTGATTGTAATAGAATATTCCTTCTTATAGGGGTTGTGTTTCCCTACTCCCCACCTGGAGGCCGCTACAATCTGAACTTCCACAGTGCAGAGCAGGCCTGTGTGGAGCAGGGGGCCGTGGTGGCTTCCTTTGATCAGCTGCTGGAGGCCTGGAAGGGGGGTCTAGAATGGTGCAATGCTGGCTGGCTCAGTGACGGTACAGTGCAGTATCCAGTCATCAGGCCCAGGCACTCCTGTGGAGGAACCAACAACGGGCCAGGCCTTAGGAGCTACGGCCGCAGGGACAAGAATCTTAGCCACTATGATGTCTACTGCTATGCTTCTCCACTGACAGGCAAGATTTATTTTATTTGTTTCCATTTGAAAATCATGAATTGAAGGATACAAAAAACAAATGTGCAACAAATGGAACTGCATTGTTATCTTTTTTTAACCTCTAATTTCAAAATTCTAATTTGCCATTCTCTTCTTTCCAGGCCGATTCTATTGGCTGGTCCAGCCAGAGAGACTCAACTATGAAGAGGCAGTACAAGCTTGCATAGATGATGGTGCAGAAATTGCCAAAGTTGGCCAAATGTACGCTGCCTGGAAGCTGGAGAACTTTGACCGCTGTGATGCAGGCTGGCTGGCTGATGGAAGTGTCCGCTACCCCATCTCCAGGCCCCGCAAGAACTGCAGTCCTACTGAGGCTGCAGTGCGTATAGTGGGCTTCCCAGACAAGACACAGAAGCTTTATGGTGTCTACTGCTACAAGGAGGAGCAGTGAAAAGATATCTGAGTATTTGCTAAAGATGGGTAAATGTGAAGACATAACCACCAAAGAGCAACAAAAACCACATCTCATAAGTCAACAATAGAGGAAATGTGCTTTGGATGCTAACTTTTTCATAGTCTCCCTGTGATATATTTTGTACTCTCAGCAGTATCTGCCATACAGCATTAGTGTTTACAGCTTTTTATAGCCACTTCACCACTAGTTTTCATTAAATTGTTGGTCTTGATTTTTTGAGGGCCATAGGATTGTGTGCAGGTTACAGTGAATAAAAAGACAAAAACTTAATGATGATGGAACATCATATAAGTTTGAATTTTCCACCATAAAATGACAAAGGAAAAAGAGAGAGAGAGCTTGTTTTGTTATGCAGTTGAGGGTGCATGTTACAATACTGGCATTGCAAAAAGTCCCCTATTAAAAATGATTAGGCCTTCTTTAGATTTTAGACAGTGGGGAGTGAAATTGTATTTCTGTTCTTAAAATGAATGTTTGTACTGTGACTATTTTCCCAATCACACAGCCAACTTGTTTTTTTTATACAATGTGTATTTTTAACAATACATTTGTTATGATCGATATGTATTTGACACTAATTGTTTTTATGTGTAGTTAATAAATAGAATTTCAATTTGCATCTTTTTGATGATCATGTGGATCAATGATTTAGACATTGCCTTTTCTAATAAATCTTAGAACCAATCAGAGTACAGTTTAAAATATTCAGCCATCCACAAGGCGCTTGACATAATAGTGGCACATGTACTATGTGCAAGCCCACTTGATTAAAAAAATAAAAAAAATCACACAAAGTACAATTCTAAGTGTGTTTTACTTTTTTCTTTTAAATTAAGTCTTTTGTTTGTATGTGCTTTTCGTACGGGTTTCTGGATCTTAAGCCAAATTAGGACCCATGCATTTGGCATGAACCCATGTAATTCTGAGCTTCAGGATTAAGCTGCCCTCTTATTTGTTCATTTTCATTGCATGTGAAGTACCAAACCGCCAGCCCCTACTATATTATAAAAGAACAAAAGGACTGTCTTGAAAGGCTGAATGCAGGAATCCATGGGAATTGGGTCAGATTTTGGGAGATACAGAGGTGTTAGATAAAAAAACAAAAAAACTAACTTAATATATTTGTGCAAGCAGGAGGATTTATATGCTTTTTTAATATCCTTTTCTTCTTTTATATATAACATAGCATACACATAGCATCTCTCTCTCTCTCTCACACTCTCTCTCTCTCTCTCTCTATATATATATATATACATATATATATATTACATATATGTGTGTGTGTTTGTGTGTGTGTGCGTGTGTGTGCAGATATAAAGGATATGAAGAAATAAGTTACAAAAACTGTTATTAAAATGTTAAAGGTTTGGCTTTTTCCTTCAGTATGAATAGTTTGACATCACCACCTGCTGGCCGAACTGTAGTGGTACTGACATTTTGCTAGTTATTTTTTAAAAATTCATGGCGTTGTTAAGCAAAGAATTGTGAATTAAATATTGCAGGTTGTTATTAGAAATTAATATTTATTTTTGTGATTTAAAGCAGGAAACAATCATATCTTTAAAAAAATATCTCAAACATCCCAAACATTCACATTGTAAAAGTTATAAATATATAGATATTATGTGCACATTAAGGTCAAACACACATTCACAGGCAGACACATCAAACATGCTGGGGACTCCAATAAGCATCCACTTATTGCAGTCAACAGAGCCCTCCCAGTTCTTTGGTCCACAGCGAGTATCAAAAAAAAAAAAAGTCTTTGCTTTATCTTCAGTGTCCAGTTTAACAGTTCATGATTGTTGCTGGTTTCTGGACTAATACAATAAAACACATGTTGAGCACTTCAGGGTCATCATTGTGAGGATCACACGAAGAGTTGTAAAGCAGCTTGAAAATAAGTTAGATGCTTCTCAGCCATTTCATTCAAGTCTCTCTGAGTATTTAACACAGTACATTCTCACAATGTAGAGGAGGAGGATGTTTAACTAGTACAGTGTTGTCTTATTAACAGCACAACAATTACAAGTAAACACACGTTTTGTTGTGTCTTTGTGAATAACAGGACATTATATACCTGCTGTTTTACATCATAAGGACACTTTTAAAGCTGTCCTATAATTTACTATGATCACCAGGCTATCGACATAATACTTGTATTAGAAATTGTGGTCTTTCAGTGTTGCATTATGCTTGTCACAACGGGTTCCTCAAGATTTGCTATAAAAAAAAAGATCACAATAAGCGCTATATAAATTAGGAACACCGAATGAGTATGTAATCATGTGTTTTAATAACCCTGTGGCAAAAAAAAATTTAAAAAAAATGTCCAAATGCTTAAAAAAAGCATTATAAAAATTCAATCCAAATCTGCAATGGTGAAGAACAGTGCTGCTTGATTAAAAAAAAGTGACTTCAATGGGTTCCATTTGCATTCAAAAGGAAAAACAGTCCACTTAATAAATTTCCTAATATGTTTGTGCTATTCCATTGGTTTAATCAGATGTTTTATCTCCTTTTCTTCTGCTGTTCCCTCCTGTTCCTCCTTGTGCGGTAAAGTGGATACTGAAACTGTGTAAGTTCCTCTGGTCGATGCCTAAAATTGTTTATGCTGTAAAGACTTTTGTGTTGATGTCTCCGGTAATAAGCCTTCTGATAAACTGAAGCTATAAAAGAACACAAAAGATCATTTATGGACAACTCTGGCAAATAATGTTGGTGTAACAGAGCACAGTGTTGTTAGTTTACTTACGATTTATACAGGTTATTTTAGGAATATCCCATCGGCCATCTCCACGGCACCGAATAGTGGGCACATGCCGCTGGATGAAGCCGGTTCTGCACTGGTATCTCACTAAAGAGTTGACCTCATATCTCTCCCGCTTCTTGCCAAAAGTCCTTGCATTTTCTACAATAGGAGGTTGGCTACATGCCACTAAAAAAATGTAATTATTAGTTTTGTTGTTCAATATGTGCTGTTCTTAGATAATATTTTCAGTTTGTTTCTTTTAATTACCTGTGCCTTTCTTGCATGTGTATGTAAGATGGTAGTTGCAAGGAACATCATTCCACTGGCCATCCTCATGCCAAATCATCACTACACAGTCCTCACCCGAGGAGAAGAAACTGTCGGGCTGGTTGGGCCTCCAGTTTTCATATTGCTGAAAAATGAAAACAGAAGCCACAAGATGAAGGTATTAGTTATGTGGTAGGAGCAGGCCCTACCAGTTTGATAGGAACTGACATGGACAGCGCTACAGTGAAAACAGTAAGCCACAACAGAGTGAGGTTTAATGTCAATTACTGTGTAGATACTCTCATAACAGTGACTAATTTGCTAAAACATGTATGACATTTCACAAGCCCAGTGGTGTGTTTACACACATACAGTATACACACAGCTGTGCTGCCTTCCACCTAAAGCTGGATTCTTTCAGCACTACTTCAAGGTTCAAACGGTCTCTGACAGGTTTTGACCCTGCCTCCAGTAAGTCCTCAGGGCTCAGCTTCTCTGTAATTAAACATATGAACAAAAGTTTCCTGTACTGCTCAATACAGAAAACTTACCATATATGCTTTATATATTTATTTGTTCATGTTTCTACTGCTGATTTCTGCACATGACAAAGTGAGTCATGTCATTCATCATAAATCAAGCAAAAACTATATGATTTAAATCTAAATTCATAGCAGTGAGAGACCACACAAGAAGAGCTCCCTGAGACCCTTAACATTTCCTTCCGCAGCTTACTACAGGTTCATCTGTGTGTCACTCTGTCTCATGGCTCACCTCCACCGACTGTCTCCTGTTGCCTGGGGCTAAGGGAAGGTCATCTAGGTCTATGCTGAGAGTACAGTACAAGTACAGTACAAGAGATACAACAGTATCTCTCATACACGCTCTCATTTCAACCTTCTGTTGTCAATGAAGTAATTTTTAAGAGATGTCAATCTATGAATACACAATATGATAATTAGCCACTCTCAAGTTATGAAAATGGCTAATAGCCAGGAGCCTTTTTTAGTCTGTAAAGATCCACACGGTTTCATAGCTATGTTTGATGAGACAATGGTGGTAAACTCTCTTACCACAGGTCTGCCATCAGTCCATCGGAAATCATTATCAAACATTTTGTCATTCAGGCCAATCCACTGGTAGTCTTGTCCAAGACCTTGAACAAAACATTAAAACATGTTAAAACATGTTAAAACATTTTACCACTGATAGTGCATGCTGTGTGTATATTTCCGGCAAAACGTGAGAAACATAAATTGTTTCATGGTACAGCTTTTAACTTACGATTCACAAATAGTAGTTCCTCATGAGACAAGATGCTAGTGAGGTGAGCCCCATGCATACGACACTCTCTCTCTGCTGTATCCCAGTTTCTTCTCTGAGGGAAGTATTTATAACAGTGTCCTTGGAACTTGTGCCAGCCATAGTCACACGTTTCTGTATCTGAAGAGACAGAAGGCCAGAATGATGCTTCATTTCACAACAATGACCATATCATTACAAGTTATTTATTAAGTTATGAATACCTTAGAGTAGATCATAGTTATTCATAATACATTTATTTATATATATTTATATTTATTTTTCCTTTGTTTTTAATTGTTAATGGTATTAAAAATTTTAGTTCATTCTTCAAGAATTATGATATGGACGGTACTGAAGACAGGCAGCTGTGTGTGAGTACACACTGAGGGTACACTATGATTCAGTGATGACTGATCCTGATACTATTTAGAGTGTACACCTTGGTTCAGCACAAGCTCTGGTTTAAATACATTTGAGATCACACACAAAAATGATCATTTAAAAGAAATTTAAACAACAGGCAGCAAGATTTACTTGAAATTTACACGATCATTTTTTATAATGTCCAAATACCACACAAGGGGATAAATATTGTGCTGGTAAGCATTAATAAAGACTTTGATTAATGTGGCCTGTTAACTGTTAAAAGGAATCGTATAGCATATTTTTCTTTTTTTACTTACAACAGTAACATAAATGAGATAAATAAAGGAAAATACACAGAAAATAGGTTTTAAAGACAGACAGGGCAGATAAGATAGATTACTACATTCTCTTTAATTTGCAATGAATGAAAGGAAACCTCTGCTTAACGCACCTTCCTCACAATACAGCCCAGAGTAACTTGGGAGACAGACACATGTGAAGCTAGCCACACCATCAATACAGGTGCCTCCATTGCGACAAGGGTTGGAATGGCACTCATCAAGTTCTACACAAGAAATTAAACAGTAACAATGAAGAACAATATTTCAAACACAGACATGTATGCCATGGAATGCAATAGGGCACATACCTGTTTCACAGTTAGCGCCATTGTAACCAGGCGCACAGCTACATACATAGATGCTGCCAGTCTTGTGGCACGTTCCACCATTAAGACAGACATTTTCTGTGCATGAGTAAATTCCTAGAAAAAAATAAAATAAAATACACCATAACATAAATGCAAGACAATGTAAAGACATTGATTCATAATATGAATATGAAAGTATACCTGGAATTTCAACAGGTTCACCAATAACTGTGTGGCCCAAATCTGGCACTGGAACTGTTGTATCTTCCCCTTTTATTGGTGGTTCTCCTCCAACAAGAGATGGGGCCTTAGTTTCATTGATATTATCAAGCCCCTCCATAGAGTGAGTGGTGGATTTTAATGTAATTGTTGATTTGGTCTGAACTTCAGTCTGTGATATTGTTCTAGGTACTACAGTTGGTACAGAAATTTCTGACTTCTCCAAAATAGTTGTTTGGTCCTTGAATATTGTCTGAATTTCTTTTGGCGATAAACAGTTATCCTCTAAAGATGCCCCTTGAGTCAAACCTTCTCCTCCAGAGGGACTTACAGTGGTCTGTGTTTCCACACCTGAAACAAGCAGGAACTCGGTTGTTTTCTTATCATCCTCCACATTAGAAATGGTCGCAGTTGATATGTTTTCCTCTGAACTACTGCTTTCAAAGCTGGAGGAGTCCATGTCACTTATGGATGTTGACACCTGTGTTGCCATAGTAACTGCTGTTGTCTCAATGGTAAATGTTTCAGATGCAGTTGTAAGGTATTCTGGCAGTGCTTCAACCTGGCCAATATTTCCGTAATCTGGGGCTTCATATCTAACCAAATCATCTAAAGTGGTTGAGTAAGGATATGTTGTTGGTTCGTATGTGATGGCTGATGTTTCTATCTCAGTTTGTTGGGTGAGATCTTTTGAAGCTGTGGTATATTCACTATATGATTCATTTTTTATCATTTTTGGTGTAATTGTTACTAGCTCTTCAGCAAACTGGCCAATGGATATTGCTGGTGTTTCAGTGCTGAACAAGTGTGATCTTTCTGTGACTTTTTCAATCGGACTTAGAGAAGACATCAACTGAATAGCAGCAGCTTCTGGTGTTGAGTCTTCTATACTTTGGTCTCCTGTCTGTGTGGGATGGCTGGGCAGAACTGTGCTTACTATAGAAAGAGTTGCTTTCTCAGAAGAGCTTTCAAATGAAGGATAGTGAGTAGATGCAATCTCTGACCTGGCCTGTTGGAAGGATATTGCTGGAGATGTTGTTTCTAATTCTGGAAGAAATGTTGTTATAAACTTAATTGCTGTATCATCTGAAGGGGTTTGTTTCGAAGAAACGGACACTGTCTCCATCACTCCACGATCAGTTGATAAAGTAGAGAAAGTCTTGTCACTTGTGATCTCTGGATATTTTGTGGTTGATAAAACTCCACTGAATGAGGGACTCTGTGATGAGGTTGTCTTATCCTCAAACACGGGTGCTTTTGTACTGGACACAGGTGACACTAGTGTGACTACAGATCCATCACTTTCTTGTGGAATAACTGTACTTTTCAATGAAACTGTGGCAGAGACAAATGATTTTGTGTCTTTTTCTGTCAACATATTTTGCCTCTCCTCTTCATTTGTAGCAGTTGTTGATTCAGTGCTGAGCTGAGAAGTAGCTGCAGAGGTCACTTGTTTTTCTAATTGCTGATGGGCTGAAGTAACCTCTGTGGTTGTTTTTAGAGTGGTGTCATCAATTGGAGATAGTTCACTAGTTGATTTAGGTGACTTGGATTCAATTAAAATGACATGCAATGTAGCACTAACTTCAGATGCTATGGTGCTGACAGTATTAAGACCAGAAGGTTGTTGTGTGGTTACTTCTTCAGAGCTGGACTTTGTGGAAACACTTTGTAATGGAAATAATGTTGACTCTTCACTTTGTTCTTCACTTGAAACACCTGATTTTGTATCATCAACAAATAGAGATAGCAGTGGCCCAATAGTAGTTGGTAACACACTTGATTTGGAGGTAAAAATGTTCATGGCATCAGTTCCAGATCCCTCCGATTCCTCTACTACTAACAATTTCTGAGTTGTTTTAACGGCCTCAATGCCCGCACCTTCCTCTGTTTGAATTGTAGGGTATGTAAGGTCAGAAGCATCAATTGAAACATTATCTACATCAACTATATTGTCATATGTCATAACTGGCCCATGAGCTAGAGTTGAATAAACCTTATCTTCAGAATTTTCTTCTGTAAATGTTACTGATGTGCTTGTGGATGGATGCAGAACCATTGTAGATGTTTGATCTATTTGGTCATTTATAACGTGGCTGCCTTGGGAGTTAATTATGACAACTTGCTGGTCTGTGAAACCATGGTATGTAATAGATGGAATTGGTGTAGACAGTGAGATCACTTCCTCCTGTATGTGGACAGTACTGGGTCTTACACTGGTCAAGTCTCCAGTTTTATTGTCAGAAATTGTAGAAGTTTGAATTTTGGGTGAAAATTCTGTTGTTCCTAGAGTTGAAAATATAGATGTCATTTCAACAGATGATGGTGTATTTGAAATATGTTCTACCTCCTGAGAGGAAATGTGCTCTGATCCTTGTGAAACTAAAGTTTCTGTTTCACCTGTTGCTTCCCCAAATGTCGCTGAGATTTTGTCTGGTGCGTGAGTTGATTTATCAGTTGTTATTGAAGATATGCCACTTAATTCTACAGAAACGGGAAGTGATGTGGATGCTGTGTCGGATTTGGTCAGTAGTGCCATTGTGGTTTGAGGTTCATCTGTGCTTAATACTGACAAGGCACCAGTTGTGAGTTTTATACTAGAATCAGGAACAACAGTAGAAGACAGGGTAATTCTATGAGTCATTGCTGTTGTTTTCAAAGAACTAGGATGGTGAGATGTTAATTTCGTTTGTAAAGTTTGGTCTCGATCTTCAGAAACAGTATCATCAGTGAATACCCCACTGCCATTCTCTGTCACACTAGAGGGCTGAGATGTTTCCACATAAAGCTTGGTATAGTGTTTGGTAGGTGGCGTACTTGTTAGAAGAATGTTGTCTGATGCCCTAGTGCTATCGTCAATTTCAGTTTCGTCTGTAGTCACAGTAAATTTCACAACAAGTTTGGGGGTTGTGTCAAACAGAACATCTTCACCAGAACCGTACTGACTTGTTTCTGAATCATCGTCTTCTAGTGTACTGGTAGAACTCTCCATGTCTGTATCAGTGAAAGTAATTTTTGATGTTGTCATACTTGGGCTGATAAGAGGATTAGAAGTTTGAAGTTCATATGAACTTGCTGTAAAAGATGTTGAGATAAAAGGCTTATGAGTAACTGAAAAATAGTTAGACGTTGGTCCTACAGAGGAAGCAAATTCCTCTGAAGAAGTGAAGATAGAAGCCACAGATGGCTCAGTCTGTCCACTTTGGCTACTAGTATCAGTAGTTTCTGAGAACGATGTTGGTTTCTCAGTGCTGTACAGCGATGAAGCATGAGTGACTGCTGAATGTAAAGATGTTACTGTTTCAGAAGTTGTTACTTTAGCAATTGAGGGAGTCGTAGCTCCAGTTGTAACTCTAGTTGTGACCATGCCTGGAGTTGTAGTTGCAGTAAGCAATGACTCTTTTGTGAGGTCATCAGTACTGTCTCCAGATCCCTCAGCCATTGTACTGCTTAGAAATGACGTTCCTTCAGGAAACAGTGTTGACCTGCTCACAGTTGGAAGAGACTCTACCATTGTAGTTTGCCTGGAAATGTCATCTGTAAGAGTGGAAGACATAACGGAAGACGCACTAGACGACACTGTCCCTGCAGACACAATAGAAAAACCTTCGGTTGTGTCCATTGTGTGTGCTGGTTTTGTGGTCTCATCTGTAGTGACACTAACCTGTTGGGAATACTGACGTCTCCTCAGAATGCACTAATGGACCAGTTGAAGATGCGGTGGCTTGGCTGGCAGACTCACTTCTAATGTCAGGTTGAAAAGTGGACAAAAGCATTGTAGTTTTACTTGCAGTGTCTGAAGTATGAAATGTAGATGATTGGACTGCTTCAGTAACTTCAGACTTAGGAGAAATTGTTGACACTAGAGTACCAGCTGTTGAGGGTGATTTTTCTGACGAAACTGTAGGAACTGAAGTTTGATATGACTTATCACTAACATGTTTAGTAGTGGGCAAAGCTGTTGGTTTTTCGGTACTAAACAACGATGAAGCTGTTGCAGATACTGAGCTTTTACTGAACGTCTCACTTGTTGACTGGCTGAAGGTCTCCTTTTCTGTTACTGATGAAGACACAAGAGAATCTGTAGTCACAGATTCCTCAACAGTCTTAACTGTGAGTTCAGATTCTTGTGTTACAGCAGACTCTGGTGTGGACTTTTCTGTACTGTACACTGATGATAATGCTGCTGTAGTGGACCCGACAGAAATGGTAGAGCTCTCAGAAAACATATCAGTAATTGTGTCTCCTGAACCAAATTTCCTCTGAAGAAGTGAAGATAGAAGCCACAGATGGCTCAGTTTGTCCACTTTGGCTACTAGTATCAGTAGTTTCTGAGAACGATGTTGGTTTCTCAGTGCTGAACAGCGATGAAGCATGAGTGACTGCTGAATGTAAAGATGTTACTGTTTCAGAAGTTGTTACTTTAGCAATTGAGGGAGTCGTAGCTCCAGTTGTAACTCCCACTGGTCTAGTTGTGACCATGCCTGGAGTTGTAGTTGCAGTAAGCAATGACTCTTTTGTGAGGTCATCAGTACTGTCTCCAGATCCCTCAGCCATTGTACTGCTTAGAAATGACATTCCTTCAGGAAACAGTGTTGACCTGCTCACAGTTGGAAGAGACTCTACCATTGTAGTTTGCCTGGAAATGTCATCTGTAAGAGTGGAAGACATAACGGAAGACGCACTAGACGACACCGTCCCTGCAGACGCAATAGAAAAACCTTCGGTTGTGTCCATTGTGTGTGCTGGTTTTGTGGTCTCATCTGTAGTGACACTAACCGTTGGGAATACTGACGTCTCCTCAGAATGCAATAATGGCCCAGTTGAAGATGCAGTGACTTTGCTGGCAGACTCACTTCTAATGTCAGGTTGAAAAGTGGACAAAAGCATTGTAGTTTTACTTGCAGTGTCTGAAGTATGAAATGTAGATGATTGGACTGCTTCAGTAACTTCAGACTTAGGAGAAATTGTTGACACTAGAGTACCAGCTGTTGAGGGTGATTTTTCTGATGAAACTGTAGGAACTGAAGTTTGATATGACTTATCACTAACATGTTTAGTAGTGGGCAAAGCTGTTGGTTTTTCGGTACTAAACAACGATGAAGCTGTTGTAGATACTGAGCTTTTACTGAATGTCTCACTTGTTGACTGGCTGAATGTCTCCTTTTCTGTTACTGATGAAGACACAAGAGAATCTGTAGTCACAGATTCCTCAACAGTCTTAACTGTGAGTTCAGCAGATTCTTGTGTTACAGCAGACTCTGGTGTGGACTTTTCTGTACTGTACACCGATGATAATGCTGCTGTAGTGGACCCGACAGAAATGGTAGAGCTCTCAGAAAACATATCAGTAATTGTGTCTCCTGAACCAAATTCCTCTGAAGAAGTGAAGATAGAAGCCACAGATGGCTCAGTTTGTCCACTTTGGCTACTAGTATCAGTAGTTTCTGAGAACGATGTTGGTTTCTCAGTGCTGAACAGCGATGAAGCATGAGTGACTGCTGAATGTAAAGATGTTACTGTTTCAGAAGTTGTTATTTTAGCAATTGAGGGAGTCGTAGCTCCAGTTGTAACTCCCACTGGTCTAGTTGTGACCATGCCTGGAGTTGTAATTGCAGTAAGCAATGACTCTTTTGTGAGGTCATCAGTACTGTCACCAGATCCCTCAGCCATTGTACTGCTTAGAAATGACGTTCCTTCAGGAAACAGTGTTGACCTGCTCACAGTTGGAAGAGACTCTACCATTGTAGTTTGCCTGGAAATGTCATCTGTAAGAGTGGAAGACATAACGGAAGACGCACTAGACGACACTGTCCCTGCAGACGCAATAGAAAAACCTTCGGTTGTGTCCATTGTGTGTGCTGGTTTTGTGGTCTCATCTGTAGTGACGCTAACCGTTGGGAATACTGACGTCTCCTCAGAATGCACTAATGGACCAGTTGAAGATGCGGTGGCTTGGCTGGCAGACTCACTTCTAATGTCAGGTTGAAAAGTGGACAAAAGCATTGTAGTTTTACTTGCAGTGTCTGAAGTATGAAATGTAGATGATTGGACTGCTTCAGTAACTTCAGACTTAGGAGAAATTGTTGACACTAGAGTACCAGCTGTTGAGGGTGATTTTTCTGACGAAACTGTAGGAACTGAAGTTTGATATGACTTATCACTAACATGTTTAGTAGTGGGCAAAGCTGTTGGTTTTTCGGTACTAAACAACGATGAAGCTGTTGCAGATACTGAGCTTTTACTGAACGTCTCACTTGTTGACTGGCTGAAGGTCTCCTTTTCTGTTACTGATGAAGACACAAGAGAATCTGTAGTCACAGATTCCTCAACAGTCTTAATCTGTGAATTCAGATTCTTGTGTTTACAGCAGACTCTGGTGTGGACTTTTCTGTACTGTACACTGATGATAATGCTGCTGTAGTGGACCCGACAGAAATGGTAGAGCTCTCAGAAAACATATCAGTAATTGTGTCTCCTGAACCAAATTCCTCTGAAGAAGTGAAGATAGAAGCCACAGATGGCTCAGTTTGTCCACTTTGGCTACTAGTATCAGTAGTTTCTGAGAACGATGTTGGTTTCTCAGTGCTGAACAGCGATGAAGCATGAGTGACTGCTGAATGTAAAGATGTTACTGTTTCAGAAGTTGTTACTTTAGCAATTGAGGGAGTCGTAGCTCCAGTTGTAACTCCCACTGGTCTAGTTGTGACCATGCCTGGAGTTGTAAGTTGCAGTAAGCAATGACTCTTTTGTGAGGTCATCAGTACTGTCTCCAGATCCCTCAGCCATTGTACTGCTTAGAAATGACATTCCTTCAGGAAACAGTGTTGACCTGCTCACAGTTGGAAGAGACTCTACCATTGTAGTTTGCCTGGAAATGTCATCTGTAAGAGTGGAAGACATAACGGAAGACGCACTAGACGACACCGTCCCTGCAGACGCAATAGAAAAACCTTCGGTTGTGTCCATTGTGTGTGCTGGTTTTGTGGTCTCATCTGTAGTGACACTAACCGTTGGGAATACTGACGTCTCCTCAGAATGCAATAATGGCCCAGTTGAAGATGCAGTGACTTTGCTGGCAGACTCACTTCTAATGTCAGGTTGAAAAGTGGACAAAAGCATTGTAGTTTTACTTGCAGTGTCTGAAGTATGAAATGTAGATGATTGGACTGCTTCAGTAACTTCAGACTTAGGAGAAATTGTTGACACTAGAGTACCAGCTGTTGAGGGTGATTTTTCTGATGAAACTGTAGGAACTGAAGTTTGATATGACTTATCACTAACATGTTTAGTAGTGGGCAAAGCTGTTGGTTTTTCGGTACTAAACAACGATGAAGCTGTTGTAGATACTGAGCTTTTACTGAACGTCTCACTTGTTGACTGGCTGAATGTCTCCTTTTCTGTTACTGATGAAGACACAAGAGAATCTGTAGTCACAGATTCCTCAACAGTCTTAACTGTGAGTTCAGATTCTTGTGTTACAGCAGACTCTGGTGTGGACTTTTCTGTACTGTACACCGATGATAATGCTGCTGTAGTGGACCCGACAGAAATGGTAGAGCTCTCAGAAAACATATCAGTAATTGTGTCTCCTGAACCAAATTCCTCTGAAGAAGTGAAGATAGAAGCCACAGATGGCTCAGTCTGTCCACTTTGGCTACTAGTATCAGTAGTTTCTGAGAACGATGTTGGTTTCTCAGTGCTGAACAGCGATGAAGCATGAGTGACTGCTGAATGTAAAGATGTTACTGTTTCAGAAGTTGTTATTTTAGCAATTGAGGGAGTCGTAGCTCCAGTTGTAACTCCCACTGGTCTAGTTGTGACCATGCCTGGAGTTGTAATTGCAGTAAGCAATGACTCTTTTGTGAGGTCATCAGTACTGTCACCAGATCCCTCAGCCATTGTACTGCTTAGAAATGACGTTCCTTCAGGAAACAGTGTTGACCTGCTCACAGTTGGAAGAGACTCTACCATTGTAGTTTGCCTGGAAATGTCATCTGTAAGAGTGGAAGACATAACGGAAGACGCACTAGACGACACTGTCCCTGCAGACGCAATAGAAAAACCTTCGGTTGTGTCCATTGTGTGTGCTGGTTTTGTGGTCTCATCTGTAGTGACGCTAACCGTTGGGAATACTGACGTCTCCTCAGAATGCAATAATGGACCAGTTGAAGATGCGGTGGCTTGGCTGGCAGACTCACTTCTAATGTCAGGTTGAAAAGTGGACAAAAGCATTGTAGTTTTACTTGCAGTGTCTGAAGTATGAAATGTAGATGATTGGACTGCTTCAGTAACTTCAGACTTAGGAGAAATTGTTGACACTAGAGTACCAGCTGTTGAGGGTGATTTTTCTGATGAAACTGTAGGAACTGAAGTTTGATATGACTTATCACTAACATGTTTAGTAGTGGGCAAAGCTGTTGGTTTTTCGGTACTAAACAACGATGAAGCTGTTG